TTCTCTGCTGCTAATTATGGCTAATATCTGATTTAAGATGCTTTGGGTTCCAAGGAAGAGAAGCCCCGTGAAAATTAGCTTAATCTCAAAGACAAAAATTGGGCTGGCCAAATAGCTCAGCAGATTAAAGTGCCTACTTAGGCAGATGCAGAGGCCAGGAATTTGATACACAGGCCTACCATGCCAGCCCTGCCCCAGGCGTACACTGAGATGGCGACTGAGACTGGGTGTGGTGGCGTGCACCTGTAATCCCAGCACTTGGGAGGCTGTAAACAGGAGGATCACTAGGAATCCGATCTATGCAGTGAGACCCGATAGAGCCTGTCCTTAAAAAAAAAAAAAAAAAAAAGACAAAATTAGGTACATTGTGGCAGGAACCAATTTCAGTAATGGGTTTCTGGTACAGAAATGATGCTTTATTATTTTTGTCTCCTGCGCTTCCACAGTCCATGCCTGCCTGTTCTTTCATTCCTGCCATTCCTTCCTAGAGCTGGGCTTCAAACTGAGGGCCTCACACGGGCTAGGCGAGTGCTGAGCCCCAGCCCCAGCCCCTATTGGTAGCTTTCTGTATCACGGGGCCCCTGCCGTCTGGAGATGCTGGGAAGCCTCATGACTCCGTATTTTCCTCCTCTGCAGGGGCTGAAGATCAGCGTGCTCTGGACTCTCTACTACGGCATCCTCAGTGCTTTTGCACCTGTGTATAGCTGGATCCTGGTGCTCCGAGGCCTGGTGGGCTTTGGGATTGGAGGGGTCCCCCAGTCGTAAGTAAACACCCCAACTGTGGTGATCCAGGCAGGCAGACAGCCACCTGCAGCCAACCCTCTGCGTCTGTGGGTTGTGCATCCTTGGACTGAAAAATATTTGGGGGACAATCTTGCATTTGTATCAAACACAATGGCCTTTTTTCCTTCTCATTATTCTCTAAATAATACAGCATAACAGCTGTTTACAAAACATTGACATTGCATTATAAGTGAGCTAGAGATGGTTTGAAGTATACAGGAGAATTTCGTAGACTCTATGCAAATCCAATCCTATGTTATATAAGGGACGTAAGTGTTGTTAGATTTTGGCCTCTTAGAACCAATCTCTTGGGGCAGCAGAGGAGTGGCTGCACGTCTGTCCCTGGCCTTGGGGATTACAGATGCAATGCTACAGGTTCAGGTATCAGAAGCTAAGCGGCAGCAGGAGAGCGGCACCCTTATTGGTACTGTAATGACGGATGACAGTAAGCACAATGGCTGGAAGCTTGTCAAATGAAATAATGGCAGAAGCAACAGACCTAGCATCGACTGGACTTTTCACTTGGATACGGCACAGTAACCCAGGAGGTGGGTCGTGTTGTGTCGCTGCAATCCGCATTTTTCAGTTGAGGAAACTGAGATTCAGAGGGCGCATTCCAAGCTACTCCACGTGTAAACTTGAGAATAAGAACCCCGAACTTGGGGCTGCCCAAATAGCTCAGCATATTAAAGCGCTTGTAAACAGGCTCAGGGGCGGGAGGTTCCATCCCCAGGCCTGCTGTGCCAGCCCCGGCCCTGGGGCGCATTGAGACTGGGCACGGTGGTGCGCGCCTGTAATCCCAGCTCTTGGGAGGCTGTAAACAGGCGGATCACTACGAGTCCAATCTAGAAGTGTATTGGATTCCCTCCCAGGAGAAAATAGTCAATATTTAGGGATTACATTGTGGCAGATGATGTCTTAAGCAGTTTACCCAGATTATCTTGTTTAATTCCACACTTTCCCCTATCAGGCAAATGTTATTAATAACCTCATTTTACAGAGAAAGAGGAACAGAGAGGTCAAGAAACTTGCTCCGGAGCTGGAGCCTGAACCCAGGCTCTCTAACTCAGAACTCCAGGACCTGGGCTCTGATCATTGCATTTTACTGCCTTGCTACTAAGAATATAAATATTTTGGGGCTGGGGAGATAGCTCAGTGGATTAAGTGCCTCTCTGGCAAGCGCAAGGTCCTGAGTTCAATCCCCGGTTCCACAAAAATAAAATAAAATTTAAAAAAAATATAAACATTTTGGACTTGGGAGAAATGGGAAGAAAACTGCATGAAAGAGAGAACAGGAGGAGAGTCTGAGAAAGGTTTGTGACCCAGCTTTCGGTAGCTGTAAGGATGAAACCGATGAGAAATGGAGGTTGAGGTTGGACAGGTGAATGGGGGTAAGCTCGCTAAAGGCCTTGAATGCCAGACCAAAGGGCTTGTCTACAGGTGCTGGGGAGCCACTAAGAGTTCTTGAGCAGGGGAGGTACTTAGGTGTATTAATCTAAGTTGAGTAAGATCATTTGGAGATAAATAATTCTGTAGTAATAATTTAGGGAGATTTTGTGAAAGGATCAGAAGATTCTGAGAAGCTTATTTCTTTACTTAGCCGGTATTGCTTCAGCCCACTGTGGGGGCACAGGCCTGTGTTGGGTGCTGGGGCGACCACAGTGAGAAAGAACAACACTGCCCCTGTATAGGATGGTGACAGTTAGGATGGACTGTCAGAGGATTAGTGAAGCAGACTTCTGAATGTGTCTGGGTGGGTCATGGAGTTGTGGCCGTGGGGACTGTGTGTGGTCCCTGGTCCCCTCTTCTTGGGCTCTGTTTCCCTGCTCTGCTTCTGAACTGAGCAAGCTTTCAGTCCTTCCTGCCCCACCATCACGATGTTCCTGCCTTGCAGCCAGCTTCCATGGACTGAATCCTCCGAGACCATTAGCCAAACTAAACTCTTCCTTTAAGCTGTGAGTGGTGGATGTTTTGTCCAGCAATGGGCACATGGACTCAGACGAATGGGATCCTTGGAAACAGATTCTGACATAGAGATCAGCATGCAGCTTGTTACTGGAACCAACACCTGTAAGCAAGTAGGCAAAGCAGGAGCGGACAGAGGAAGGAGCTGCAATGGCATGGGCACGAAGCTACTCTGATGTACCCACCCTGCTCAAAGGCTCTCTCTGGTTCACTTATAGACAGCCCCTCTGACCTGGTATCCAAGCCCTCTAACAAGCTTCTACCTCTATAACCTCAGCTTTTGATACTCGTAGGTCTCATCCCTACAGGTAATCAAAACTGGACCAATGGCCTTCTTTAGACTCAGCTCCTCTCGGCATTATTCCAGCCTCCCCTTTCCATGCAGTTCCTTCTATAAGATATTCTCCTATTGGGGTTCATAAGCTGGTTGGTCCTCCAGAGTTGTTCTTTTTTTTTTTTTTTTTCAGTACTGGGTATTGAACTCAGAATCCTGCACTTACCAGGCAGGCTCTTGTTCTACTGAGCTATCTCCCCAGCCCAAAGATTTACTTTTTTATTTTTATTTTTATTTTTTGTGGTACCAGGGATTGAACTCTCAACCCTGTGCTTGCCAGGCAAGCACTTATTCTACTGAGCTATCTCCCTGGCCCCCAGAGTTGTTCTGAATAGAGCAAGGGACTAGAACTTCTCACTCTCCCATCAACCAGCTACTGGATGTGGGATGCCCCTAAGGAGGGAGGATGATCTTGGGTAGGTGGCTACACTGGGACAAGGCATTTACTGCATGGGACCCAGTTGTGCACTTTTAGCCGCCAGCACTCCTGGTCTTTCCTGAGGGAATGAATGTTGCGTTTGCTTCGCTCACATCGGTCACTACAGTCCACCCTCTACATCTTGTAGATCAGTGTCTTTTATAACAGGCTGAGAATAGTTTCTCCAAGATTCTGGATGGTTGCTCTTCCTGTAAATGTTTATACAAGGATAGTTATGGGATAAAACAGGCCCTCCTATTGTCACTGACCTAATGACTATAAAGGATGCCTATTTCTTTTCTGCCGCCCATTATGGAGTCGCCTTATCTTTGGCTAGTACTTCTGCTGATCTAGCTGGTTTAGCTGGTGGGGAGACCTAAGACCCCATGCCAGATGGGTCTAAATCCTTGGTCCCCACACTTTCTCAGGCTGTAACTTTTTTTTTTTTTTTTTTTTAATTTTTATTTATTTGTGTGTGTGTGTGTGTGTGTGTGTGTGTGTGTGTGGCCAGCTCAGCCCACCAGGGGGCGGGGCTGGCTGGCATGTGGTGCTGGGGGATTGAACCGCGGTCCCTGGGCTTTGCTAAGCTTGCTCTAAGTAGGTGCTTTAGACCACTGAGCCATCTCACCAGCCCCTCAGGCTGTAACTCTTGTACTCAACAGTTTAATACCAAAAACTGAGTAGGGGGATGCTGATAAATGGTCTGTGTAGTACCCGGGTGCACTGATGATACTCCATTGACCCTGCTGCTCCTCGTGGTTAACAGCAGTCTCTGACTGGTGAATGGTGACTTTTTTTTTTTCTTCCCTGCTCTTTTCTTTCTTTCTTTCTTTTTCTTTTTTCTTTTTTTTTTTTTCTTTTTTTTTTTTTTGGCAGAACCAGGGATGGAACTCAGGCCCTTGTGCTTGCCAGGGAAGCGCTTATTCCACTGAACCATCTCCCTGGCCCCCCTGCTCTTTTCTTGACTAAAGCCCAAAGTTACTAGACGGCAGTTCTTGCTTCAAGTGTACTGGGATGCTTCCCCCGGTGCAAACTTGCCATCTCTGAGAGCCAAGACCTCTTAGATCTATAGAGCTTAGAAAATACTCAAGTGAGGGCTGACCAAATAGCTCAGTAGATTAAAGTGCCTGCAAGCAGGTGCAGGAGCTGGGGGTTTGATACCTGGGCCTGCTGTGCTGGCCCCACCCCCAGGGTGAGCTGAGAGGGCAATTGAAACTGAGTGTGGTGGTGCGCGCCTGTCATCCCAGTGCTTGGGAGGCTATAAAGAGGAGAATCACTATGAGTCTGATCTAGTAGTGAGACCCTGAACACCATGTAGACCCTTCCCTAAAAGAAAAAGAAAATATGCAAGTGAGGTACACGACTCTCAACGATGGGAAGAAAGGCCACTCCTACTTCAGCACCTGGGTTTCCAGATCCATGTACTCTCTGTACTGGAACATAGCCCCAGGATGGCCACTAGGTGAAGAGTGTGCTGTGACCTACAGAACAGTGTGCCACCCTCAAAGGGCACTGGCTCCACACTGATGCTTCACACTTGATCTTAGCCAAGAGGCTGAGAAGCGATTGCACTGACGCTTCCGCATCACCAGTAAAAGGCTGCTTTATTTTCTCAGTGCAGCAGCTTTGGTGTGGTTGACCACAACCTTCCGTGGTTGTGTGCCCCCTGCTGCTCTCCTTTGGGGGAGACTCATGAAAGCACCCAAGACAATGCTTGGAAGAGCACTCAGTGTAAATTAGCCAGCATGTAGAGCTGGATGTGGTGGTGCATGCCTCTAATCCCAGCACTCAGGAAGCTGAGGCAGGAGGGTCACTGCAAGCCGGAGACCAGCCTGCATTACACAGAGAGACCATGTCTCAAAAAGAGCCACGTAAATAAATAAACACAAAGATAATTAGGCATCTCATCCACTGAATGCTGTATTAAGAAGTTCAAGGTGTCAATGTGACAGGCTATAGATGCTGTGATTCTGTGAAGTGGGGTGAGATGTGACTGCTTGGATTGAACACACAAGCAAACATCCACGATCCCCCTTCCAACTGGAGGGGTGCTGTGAAGCTGTCCGCACTCCTGAATTCTCTCCCTTCTTTATGATTGCTTCTTCCAGACCATGGAAGTGGAGCCGAGGATTGAGCCACGGTCCCTGCACTTGCCTAAGCTTGCCTATGCAGGCCATGTAGTCCACTGAGCTCTCTCGCCAGCCTGCTCCTGGATCTGAAACAGGTTTCAAAACCCCTGGAGCTCGAGGCTGTTCACAGAG